CTTTTTGAACTTCATTCTGTGTTCTGTTCTTAGTATGTTGTGGGCCTTGATTCTTCTCAAAAATTAGTAATACTAAATGCTGACGTAATTTGCATTGTTGCATTCTTATTGACCTAGCGTACCCATTAACTAGTTCTGCTAGGTTCCTTCCCACTACAGTAGTTTTACTTTATGTCTCTTCTTTCCTTCCTTGAATCCTCTCAAGTTTGTTCTGATGATCTGCCTACTGTCTCTTCTGCTCCTTTAATAGACCTATTTCAGTCATCTGAAATTTCCAGATTCATTGTTCCATACACTTCCTAAATGCCAGATTCCCCCCCCCCAATCAAGGAGAAACGTGCTGCTTTTCAGTTATTCACCCTTGTTTCTTCAGCTGTCTGATTTCCAGACTCCCTGCCACCCCCCACATAGTTCAACATTGCAATGAGCAAGACTTCCTTCAGGAGCAGAAGGGTTCAGACTACATTTCACAATTCACAAGATTAACTCGGATTCAAAGTGACCTGGACCTATTGGTAAACTGTGCCAGAACAGCAAAAATGAGTTTCAACAGAGAAAAAGACAACAAGTTCTAAACTTAAGCAGGAAAAAGCAAATCCAAAGTTATAACTTGTGGGGGGGGGGCACCTGGCTTGGTTAGTACATGTGAAAAAGATCTATAGGTCTTAGTCCACCACAAGATACGTCTGAGTCAAAGATGTGGCGCTGGGGCAAAAAATGAACACAGTTGTAAGGCTGCATCAAAAGTGTTGTATCCAGAAATCAGAGGAAAGCCACGACCTATAATTTGCAAGATTTGACTGAGGCTGTTTATGACAGGATCTGGGGGGAGTGGGGCGGGGTGGCAGTGGTCATCAGTTGCTAGTCACCATGCCTCAGCAATGACCTGGCCTCACATAATGGCAGACTCCTCCTGCTTTGGTCAGATTTGGCTGGGAATGCTGTGGCCAGTCCTGAGCGCCACCGTTTACAAAGGGCATCAGTAAGCTGGAAGGTCTCCAGAGGAAGGGGACCATGAGGGGACACATTCTGGACACTATGGCCTACAAGGGAGGCTTTGGAAGAGCTGGACGGGCCAAGACTGGGGCACAGAAAGCTGAATAGGGATAGGACTGCTGTCTTCATCCACGTGAAGGGCTGTCAAGCAGCCACGCTTTCTGATGTCCCAGAAGGACAGGACCCAGAGTCTTGGGTGCAAATTACCAGGATTTTGGCTAAAACACAAGGAATGACTTTCTAACAATGGAACACCTTTGCAACAGTGGGAATGAATGGCTGTGGGAAGCGGAGGTCTCTCTCCTGGAAGATTGAACGGCCGCCTGCCAGGGGTGCTTCATCCGTAGATCTCTTTCTTTGGCATGAGGTTCAGCTCAGTTCCCTCCGTCCTCTCTAGCTCCATTGTTCTGTGACAAAGACCCTGTGGCCCAAATGGAGCAGAAAGGGAAGGGTTTGAACTTCCTCCCTGGCCCAGCAAATTCCCTCCTGACCTTAGTTGCTGGAGTGCTGGTGTAATGGGAGAGCCTGTGGAAGTTGCAGTGACTCTGTGTGTGTGTGGGGGGGGAGATTTGCCATTCACCCCACATTAACCTTATGCTTTGTGTGTGTGTGTGTGTGTGTGAGAGAGAGAGAGAGAGAGAGAGAGACTCAAAGACACTCTTGGAGCAAAGAGGGCAATGAACTTGGTTAAAGTGACTTGGAAGCAGGCTACTGATGCGGGATGATGGTCTGTTTTTTGAGAAGACGGCACACGCAAATGCATGCCTAAAGGTGGAAGAGCATGGGCAGACATCCATACCCCAGAAGGAAACCGGAGGGGGGGGGATCTGAACTCCCTTGCAGCCACTCCCTCCCTCCCTCCCTCCCTCCAACTGCACACAGACACCCTTTGCACAGGTGTTATCAGAGCTCTGTAAAGTTATCAAAGTCCTGAAATGTGATCTTTGCTGTGCTATAAACTGAGGGTCAAGAAGGGGAAAACCTGCAGATGGGCTGATTTGTTTTCAGTGTGGAAAGTGGAACAAGACGTGCCAGCCGGTGAGGCCGCTTCTTCCCGGACTATCTCTCCTGCAGAAAACAAGTCTCTGAGATATGAAGTGCAATAGACCAATACTGTCTCATACAGTCAGTAAAAGCAAACAATAATTTGGAAAAAAACAACACACCTTTTTCAGAGTATGAAATGAAACTCCAAACCAGGGGTGAGACCCAGATGTGCCACAGTCTAAAAGGTGGGCCGTGCAGGCTGCCTTGAATCCTGCAGGAGGGTCTCTCGGCCGGTCCCCTTGGAGAAACCACCCCATGGTTGGCTGCTGCTTTCTCCCAGCATTTCACCTGAGCACACGGCGGGGGGGGCTGTCTTGTTCCCCACCACCCTCACCGCCGCTCTCACCACCACCTGAGCCCAGCTTCCCTGGGGGAGCTCCGTCACGGGCCACTGGGGCAGGCAGGCAGGCGGGCCCACAGAAGGAAGGGGCTCAGGCGGGAGGGCCGCTCAACTCAGCTTGGGTCTGCCTGATAGGGCTGGGGCTGGGGCTGAGCAAGGTCCTGTGGGGAGCCAGGCCAGAGGGGCTTCTTGGGCTTAGCCTCGGGTTCGATCCCGTCCTTGGCCAGGAGTTAAGCTCCAAGGCGGCACCCTTCTTCCTCCACGCTGGACAGCCCTTTCTGAGCCCTTGCTGCCAAAACAGTACCCAAGGTGGGTACAGCCAGTATCTCCTAACGAACACAGAGAGAAATGCAAACGGACCTCTACAGGGTCTCTGAAAGATCTATTTTGCAGAGAATAGGAAACACACTTAGAGGCCATGCTCTCTATGGAACCCCGTGTCTCAAGAGAAGAGACAGATTCCAGCCAGATGATGTGGTTCGATTATGTTTTGGGTGTGCCATTCCTGCCAGGCAGAGCTCCCAGTTACAACCATCCCAGTACACGTCACCCCAGCAAAGCGGTCTGCTAGTCCCCCTTTTACATCTGATAAAGCTCAGGAGACTGTAATGTTGCAAAACCAAGATTGGAGGGGGGGGGACAGGAAACTATGTGCTAGTTTTCTCACTTGGTAAACTTTACAACACTAGAGGTCAAATGCTGGTTAAAATCTTTGAATTTCTGCCCTCTTGGATCATGAATATAACCAGTTTGAGGCTCTCTTCCAAACAGTGTGTACACCTTTTTCACAATATGCTTTGTTACATAAAAAAATATTTTCAGGAATACAGAATTTTTATAACATACTAAGAACCTCTTTGGGCCTTCCTGGCCAACTGTCTCCCTCAAAACAATTTTATTTATTATTTATTTATTTAAAATATTTTTTACCCCACCTTTCTCCTTAAAAAGGACCCAAGACAGCTTACAACATTGAAAGACATTATTTAAAGTTAAGAACAATGAGTATACAATAGTGGCTTACGTCATTAAAACAATATCTTTTTAAAGCTAAGAACAATGCATATAAAAAGGCAGCCTACATCATTAAAAGATCATGTTAAAGCTAAAAACAATAAGAATAAAAACATTAAAATGGAGCAAACCAATGCCAATCTGAGAAACGGTAAGCACAAGCAGTACTGAAAGGTAGCCAAGGGAGTTGTGCAGAACAATCTGCCCCCTTTCCTTACTCCTGCCGGGCACCAGAATGCCCTTCCATGGCAATCTTATGGCAAGGGAGCTTCTACAACCAAGCATCATTTGGGGGGGGGGGGGCATAAAACTTGCGCTATGGGCTCCCTCCTGACACGCCTGCCATGATTGCATCCTACAGTACTATTCAATCCGCGC